CAGTCATACTCGTTTTTTTCTTGTAATGTTCCTCCTTCAAGTTCACACGAAGTCCACGTGCTTGTCCTGTCGATCAAAATCATTCGACACTGCGCAGGTGTGAAAGTCTCGTCACACCGAAGACGAAGCGCTAGTATTTCCAACAAGTTTTAACTTTTTTTATCATTCCTAGATTTGATTCCAACATTTCTTAAAAAAAAAAAAAAAAAAAAAGTAAATAAAATACATTGGGTATAAACACTTGAAATTGAAACATACTCTCTGCCAATTTAAAATACCACCGCAGACACGTGTATTTTTTGAACTGCTATTGTGCAATGACTTTTTTAGATGCATTTGTTTAGAGACTGCAATTTTTGTGCTACAAAACACATTAACTTCTTTTTAAATGTTAATTAAAATATACTGGAAATACTGACTAAGTAACCGATTGGGGGGGGGGGGGGGTTAATCATATCGAATGTCAAACATATAAAGTTACGGTGAAGGAAGAATTTTTCTCTCTAACTATAGACTATATAGTAGAGAAAATCCTGTAGTGTGTAGTGTATTACATTTTAAATAAATGTTTTTTTAAACCACACTATCAGTTCAATTCGCTCCAAAGATAATTAATTAACAGGATATCCGCAGTACTATGTATAATTCTCAGAACTAGTTCTATCATGTATTTGTGTAGTAATTGGGAAAAAACGTGTTAGAAATAAATATTTTTGTAATTTTGCTACAGTTTGTAAATTAATTGACTTGGTTAATTATCTATGCAGTAACGATTTGTCGTCTTTAAAATAACAACAAAATGTTGCATGGCTTGAAGTATCTTAATATTGCCCGTATTTAAATTTAATTTTTCAGCATCGTTCTACATAGGTACATACTTATAACAACATTTATTTCCCAGAGTAAATTACCTTACAGCTAAGTTAGATATTAATAATAATAAGTTAGAATATTGTGAATAATTTTTTCCCTTGAGATAATGATTCTTTAAACACGATATATTAATTATTAAATCAAAAAAAGCTGTAAATCCTTACTAACAAAAAGATAATTCCTTTCACTTTGGAGTTCCAAATGATACTGAAGACTGAACGATAAGTGAACGCTGAACGCAGGGTGAACGCAAAGTGAACGAACGGAGAGCGAACGCTGAACGCTTTGTGAACGGTGAACGCGAGCGCACGGTGAACGCTGAACGCAAAACTGTGAACGGAGAGCGAACGCTGAACGCACGGTGAACGAACGGTGAACGCACGCTGAACGAACGGTGAGCGAACGGAAAAATGGGAATGTAGAACGTTTCAGGGACTATAACTGCCAAAGGTCAACTCCCTTCCATCAATGTAACGCACGAATCGATATTACAATATTTTCGCATTCTCGTTCACTTAACATGAATAATTCAAACTCAGAAACAGGAAGCGTTTTTGGAAGTTTTCTCTTTGTTTATACAGAGATTAACGGTTTTAATCATTGCAAAAACTAGTTGTCAGTGTGGCACGAACGCACCTGCTGATAAGCGTGTTTTATATATTTCAAGGTTGATATTTTTGAATAATTTAATTCTAGTTATAACGCGGTATTTGATTGGATAAAATTTTTTACTTTATTCATGTATCGTTTAAATTGGGTTGCTTACGTCACAATGACTTGCGTCAAAAACGTATCGATCCGCCTGACGTTACATTTAAATTTTGTACAATTTGAAGTCATTATTTAAGGTCAATCATCTTTTTTTCTTACACTAAATGAATGAAAATTAAATTATAAGGAATGAAATAAATAGCTACCCAATTTATACTGTATAAAGTGGGTTGGAGCAGTTTACGCTTTTTAATAAGCCGCTTCGCGGTTTAAATAAAATGCATTTAATTTCATGGAATCTTGCCGGGTAAAATTTAACAAAAATCCTTTTGGCATATTATTACAAGGAAATAATAGTCATTACTATGGTTGAGAGTTATCCCTCTTATCAGGTCAACGTACCTTAAAGTCAAGGGGTGAAAAATAACAATGGTTAAAAACGAAATCATATCGATGCCCTTGTTATTGATTCTACAATACCTAAGGTTCCTTCTGTATAAATATGACTAATAATGGCATAATTGTTCTTGAGAAGATTTTACAGATATTTCCTATGTAACGTGTATTATAAGGTTCTTACAAAGGATAGAGAGGTTTTCCTTTTACTCTATCTGAGTTAATGACAGGAATGATTATTAAGACACCTCTGTCTGAGGGTATATCACACAGTACTTAAATTTTCTCCTATCTAGGGACGGGGACGGGGTAAGGTACTACTTGCACTGTATTTCTCCTCTAGGTTCCCATTACTAGATAAGAACTGGGTGTCTCAATCCTCAGATTTATTACACCCAGAACTTAACATCAATTCCCTAGGATACTTGCCACTGCTTTTTTTTAACTCCTTTATTGCTGATTCAACATATCCAACTTCTTCAGCTGGCTTCTGAACGACAGACTTTCCCAAAGCTTTGCCTTATATACCCTTTGGCTAGTCCATTCCACTATTTGAAGTCTTCAATACGTTTACTTAAATACTCTTACATGTAACCATTACACCTATATATTCCTATGTAAAACGTTGACCCACTGTTGTGGCCCCGCCCTAGCTCCAGTGGTCATGAACAAACTTGAATCTACACTGCCTGCAGAGGATGCTTCTGTATTTATATGACTAATAACAGCTTAGCTGTTCTTGAGAAGAATTTTTTTAAACATATTTCCTATATATTCCTATGGAGAACTTTGACCCCTTTTGTGACCCTGCCTAACCCCCAGGGGTCATGATTGGAACAAACCAGAACTTACAATACCTGAGGATGCTTCCATATAAATATGACCAATCATGGCTTTGCTATTCTTAAGAGGAAGATTTTTAAAGAGATTTCCTACATGTTCCTATGTAAAACTTCGACCCCCTCTTGTGGCCCCGCCCTACCCCCGGGGGTTATGATATGAATAAATTTGAATGTAGAGTATGTAATGAAGCTTTCTCATAAGTTTCATCTTTTCTTGCCCAGAGGTTCATGAGAAGAGGATTTTTAAAAGATGCCACGAAATTCTTCATTATCTCTCCTAGAAAGAGGGCGTGGCACTTCCTGTGAACAAATTTAAATCCCCTTCACCAAAGGATGCTTTGTGGCAAATTTGGTTAAAATTGGTCCAGTGGTTCTTGAGAAGAAGTCAAAAATGTGAAAAGTTTACAGATGCCGGACGACAGACAGACGCCGGACACTCTATGATCAGAAAAGCTCACTTGAGCCTTTGGCTCAGGTAAGCTAAAAAGGACAAAAGACAGAGAAGTCTCAAAGTCTAAATGGAATTTAAAAAAAAAAAAAACAACCCACATGAAACTCGAACTTGATCTGTAAATTATCAATATTATGAGAAATACCAAAAAGCAGCTCCTTGTCAAAAAGCACAGCAAAAAAGTCCGGAAAACTTGCATCTTGACAGATGGAAAAGGATAACAGTATATGCTGCGGCCATGGAAAGATGAGGGTGTAAAAATTTAGATATCCAGCATTTTTCTGTAGTTTTTTTCCTGCATTGCTGCAAATCTCAACAACCATATTGTACAGGACTATATTATGGAAAAAAGATGTGAATTGAGAAACACTGATGCCCCCGTATCGCAACTTGAAGCAAAAGTTAAACTTTCTCAAATGCATACCAAATATGTTAGTACACAATGCAAAGTCGTGTCTCGATGAATATACTTGTGAAATATGAAAGACCCAGTTGCTACCATTGAATAGATACAGAAAAGGTTAAAGTTTTTTAAAAGTAAGTCAAACATCAAGGTCAATGTCAAAATTAATGGTGTCCAAGAAAAGGCCTTCTCACAAGAAATACACATGTGAAATATGAAAGCCCTAGCATCAACTGTTCAGAAGTTATGGCCAAAGTTCAAGTTTTTCAAAAGTAGGTCAAACTCCAAGGTCAAGATCAATGGGATATAATTGTTGGTATCCAAAGGAAGGTCTAGTCACAAGAAATACACATGTGAAGGATATATTTAATCCTTTTGACAAGTACTTCCTTTCGATAACAACAACTTTGGCCCATTGACCTTGACCTTGGAGTTTGACCTATTTTTGGAAAACTTTAACCTTGACCATACTGCTGAACAGTTGGTGCTCGTTTAACATGTCTATCCCTTGTGACAAGACATTCCTTTGGACAGCAACAATTGTAATCCATTGACCATGACCTTGGAGTTTGACATACTTTTGAAAAACTTTAACCTTGGCCATAATTCTTGAACAATTGGTGCTAGGGCTATAATATTTCACATGTGTATTTCTTGTGAGAAGGCCTTTCCTTGGGCACCATTGATTTTGACCATTTGACCTTTATGTTTGACTTACTTTTGATAAACTTTAACCTTTTCCACCTTTATTCAATGGTTGCTGCTAGGGTTCTCATATTTCACAAGTTTATTTCTCAAGACAAGACCTTACTTTGGGTACCAACATATTTGATTTGCATTTGAGAAAGTTTAACCTTTGCTATAAGTTGCCACACGCGGGCATCAGTGTTTCACAAACACGTTCTTTACTGTATCAATAACACTTTGTTGTAAAAGAGAACTCTTTCTTGTCAACAACACTTTGTTGTAAAAGAGAGCCCTCACTTGTCAATAACATCTTTTGTACAAGCAAACTCTTACTTGCCAATACCGTTTCATTGTAATGGAGAACCCTTACTTGTCAAAAACACTTTGTTGTAAAAGAGAGTCCTTACTTGTCAATAACATGTTTTGTACTTGTAAGCAAACTCTTACTTGTCAATAACACTGTTATAAAAGAGAGCCCTTACTTGTCAATAACACGTTTTGTACAAGTATACTCTTACTTTTCAGTAACATTTTGTTGTAATGGAGAACTCATACTTGTCAATAACTTGTTGACTATGATATTTATTCTTCAAAAGTTTTGGAAAAATTGGAAAAAAAAATCTTTGTTAACACTGTGTACACTGAATATTTATTCATATTCAACACACATTTCTTTATCATTCAATACAACAAGAAGTTGTCATTAAATCCTGTACAGTTTGTCATCAGTTCGATAAATAACTCCACACAATCTGTAGTTATCACAATGTTCTATAGGTCTTTATTCCTCTAGATCTTGGCGGTCTGGGAGAGAGATTGTAGCTGGGCCAAGCAGGACTGGATGTTCTTCTTTTCCTGTAAACAGCAGGAATTGGAGATTTATCATTTGACTGTATAACTTTTGTACATATAAGTAAATGTTCCTAATTGTCGTACCAGGTAGTTTTATATTATTGAATAACATTTTTATACACTTTTTATAAATTGCATCAAACATAAAGTAATAATGCATTTTGAAGGAATAAATCTGTCAGCTGTGTCAGAAAATAGTAAAACAAAAAAATAACGAAACATTCCTTTTCTACATCATCATGTACCATTTTGTTGGTATGACATTAAATATGGGTGAATTTTAAATTCATTACATGTTCTTTTCTTTTTATTTTTAAATCTTAGATTTTGTTAACTTTTATCACTTTTTTTTTACATCTGAGTACAAAAAGCAAACAGATATACTTATAAATAAATAATTCAATTTTAAGGTAGTAAAATAAATTACTAGTCTTTCTTTCCATGTTAATAGAAAAGCAAAGTAAATTTTTATTCAGTTTGAAGGCGAAATTTTGTTAATGGGCAGGACATTAAGGATTAAACTTTGATCTGGGCTGGATATTAAGGTGTAAACCTAGATCTGGGCTGGACATTAAGGAGTAAACCTAGATCTGGGTTGGACATTAAGGAGTAAGCTTAGATCTGGGCTGGATATTAAGGAGTAAAGCTAGATCTGGGCTGGATATTAAGGAGTAAACCTAGATCTGGGCAGGACATTAAGGAGTAAAACTAGATATGGGCAGGTCCCCAGCCATTAGGGAGTAAACCTAGATCTTGACAGGACATTAAGGATTAAACCTAGATATGGGCAGGGCAAGAAGGAGTAAATCTAGATCTGGACAGGACATTAAGGTGTAAACCTAGAACTAGACATTAAGGAGTAAACCTAGATCCTCCAATCACTCCTCTGGTACCCCATTCTATGTCTGTTAGCCTACCTTGATACTAATCTGGGGTGGTATGGGGATTAATTACAGTTAGATTTGACTGGTCCCCAATTCTTACCAGATCTGGAGTGATATTTTTGACAACTTGGTCTGTAATCCAGTTGATCATGTGTTCTTTTTCAAGCTCAACCTTTGTGGCTCCTAATGCTAACTGGCAGTCCTGTAATGGAGAAAAATATTTATCAGTAGGAACACAGCTATAGGAAGACAGGACTTTAATGCTAATTGGCAGTCCTGTAAAAGAGATAAACATTAGTTATCAGCAGCTACGAGAAGATAGGATTCTAACGCTAACTTTCAGTCCTATAAGGAGATTAAGCATTAGTTATCAGCAGGAACAGAGCTACAGGAAGACAGGGCAGTCTCACTACCAGTAGGAATGATACTAAAGATTTACCAAGTGAACTTCATTAAATTAACTTAAATGGATTGCACACTTTTAAATCTTGAATCATAGCATGAAAAAACGATGTAAACATGATCACTTCTCCAGTGTAAGATAAAAAAAGCATCTTACCAGACGAGCTCTAACTTCAGTATATACTTCTTTAAGTCTATCTCTGTAGTTGTTTTCTAGTTGTAAATCAATGTTTTCCTGAAAAGAAAACATTTAATTTTAATTTTTTTACTAAATCAACAGTTATTTTCTAGTTGCAAATCAATGTTTTCCTGAAAAGAAAACATTTAATTTTAATTTTTTTACTAAATCAATATTTCCTTTAAACAAATCTTGAATTTAAATATTACTAGTAAACCCTGATGAATTTGTGAATTATATATTAGGTCAGAAAATATTCCTATGGCTTACTTAAATTCCAAAGTATAACAAGAGAACCACACCGAATGCATTTGGGGTACAGTTAAGTCATAATTGCTTTCCAAGAGTATGATTTAAAACTGTACAAAGTGGAACCTTATGTATTGCTCATAACATCACAACCTTAGACCCCAAATCAAACTGACAAGCCAAAATTGATAAGTTTCAACCTCAGGCTACTGAAAGAAGTGAGAAAATGGTCAAATGTCACCCTTCAAATGGTTTTATAAAGTCAAATCTATTGAAATTTTAAGTATAACAGAACTACAAGCAATTGTTAATTTCATTGTTCTATCAATATAACCACAGTAAATATTGACCATCTGGATGTAGAGTTTGGGCAATATTTACATATATCACAGAGTTTGGGCAGTATTGGATGTCATTCTTTACCAGTATTTTGATAGTTATTTACAATTTGGACATCACAAAGTTTGACCAGTTACTGTCAGTAATTTATCAGTCTAATCTTAGTTAAACCCTTCCCATCTGCAGGTCCTAGAGTTTGAGCTGTACTGACCTTTGTCGGTGATTTATCAGTATAATCTTGGTTAAACCCTTACCATTTGGACGTCGTAGAGTTTAGGAAGCTGTTGGATCATGTCCTTTGTTTGTTGTGCTGCTGCGATACAAGCACTGATGTGATCTTTCTTGTTTTGGATTGGTTGATGGAAATACATGTCATTCAGTTTCTACAAAATTATTAATAATGAATCAATCAAAAATCATGAGATTTCTTTATATACTGTACAAAATTTGTTTTTAAATTGGAAACCAATTAAGAATTATATATTAGTACCAATATCATCTATAACATCTCTACAAAACATTTCATCATTATGTTGATCAACCTATAAAAAGAGATCAAACCAGATCAAAAGCTGAGAATAGCTACACCTTTATTGTGTAAGTTTTGTTATATTTACCTTAGCCAGGAATGGTACCCTGTTGTCCAGGAACCTCCTGATAGAGGGCAGTTGTGACATTGTGATATATGTTTTATCATATTTACCTTAGCCAGGAATGGTACTGTAAAAGTGGTTATTTACGCGTTGGGGAAATTTACACTACTTACGCGGTAAGCTTAGAACCGCGTAAAATACCCCTGCGCGTATGGTCACAAAATTTCAAACTTCTGGAATCATTATAGACTATTACTTATACTGTTAGACAGGTCGAACCAGTCGTATATTAATCATGGAATTGAACGCACGTGGGTAGATAAATACTTCACGAACAGTGATGAAAACGTAACTGTTCTTTTTTTAATTGTGCAATGAAAAATGCATACATCGATCTCCATATAAAATATTTTAAAGCGTTTTATTATATTTACCTTAGCCAGGAATGGTACCCTGTTGTCCAGGAACCTCCTGACAGGGGGCAGTTTGTGATATTTATAATTCTGACAGGTGTTTTATTATATTTACCTTAGCCAGGAATGGTACCCTGTTGTCCAAGAACCTCCTGACAGGGGGCAGTTTGTGATATTAATTTTATAATTCTGACAGGTGTTTTATTATATTTACCTGAGCCAGGAATGGTACTCTGTTGTCTAGAAACCTCCTGACAGGGGGCAGTCTGGTGAAGCCCCAAAGAATGGCAAAGTAATAGAAGTAAGCCAGGGGGTAACTGACAATGAGAACACCCTTAGCAATCGCAGCAAAGAAACCGCCAACAGTGAGCACGTAGAATCCTACAAAAAACAATCATCAGTTATAATCATCCAAAGAAATTGTTAGGTTTATCAAAGTATTTTCTTAACAGAAAACAGATTTAGTACTTCATTTTCCCAAGACCCACACCCAAAAAATTTTCTTACTGACAGCAAATCAAGAAGTTATGCCAAGGAAACTTTATAGAAGTGCAATATGTGACTGAAGTATTTTACAATTTTTATTTCATTTAATTTTTTTTTTTTTTTGGAAAATCTTCAACTTTTTTAAATCAATAATAAATGTTTGATTGTTCAATTCTGCATTATTTCAAGGAATCTTTTGAAAAATACAAAATAATGCAGCAGAAAATTGTTATTACCAAGAAATGATACGGTTATACAGATTATTATACATCAGGGTTCGACACTAACGTTAGTCCGTTAGTCTCAGACTAATACATTTTCATTCGGACTAATAAAATATGTGGCTAATTAGTCCGAACGGACCAATTAAAATTTCTGAAAATATGTGAATAAATTACCGATGTCCGATTCTCGACAACTTTTACCGGAAAACCCCGCCTATATTTTTAGATTTCTAGCTTTTGGCGGGTTGTTACGCAATGCCGTGTCAATTCAGCACTTAATTTTTCGACTGATCAATATGAAGTATAATGTTTTAGCGATCATGATTTAGTATGACACTTTTCAGAAAGATGTTGGACGTTTTGGATGTAATGTAAATGCGAGATTTCAATGAATCTGTGGAATGATATATTTCCCGTAAATACTTTGTTTATTTCAAAAAATAATATGTATATTAATTGTCACGTTAAATTAATGTTAAAAAACATTGATGTTTCCTTTTCTTGATGGACTAATAAAATCGCATGCGGACTAGTAAAAGTAATGAAGCACTAGTCCGGCTGGACTAAAGCCTTAAAAAGTTAGTGTCAAACCCTGTACATGTATACAATCTGGTTACTTGTGATACATACTGAGCACTACCAAGTAATGATACATATTACTGGGTAGTGCTCAGTATGTATCACAGGCTATAATAATCTAAATTCTATATATTTAGAATTTAGATTATTATAGCCACATGTAATCTTACTACATGTGAAACACACAGTGTACAACCAGGCAGTGATACCTGCATACTTATCTCGAACTCGATGGGACTGAGAAAATACTTCGAGATATCCGAGGATTCAAAATATCCAGGGTAAAATACTTACAGAATAAGCAGTTGAGACTTACAAACACTTCGACATATCCATGGTATTCGAGATATCTGTGTTTGAGATACGGAAACACACAGTGTACTACCTGGCAGTGAAACCTGTATACTTATTTATACCTATTTACAGTCTGGTTACCTGTGACTTCACTGTAGGGCTGCATGGCATCAAACACTAGTCTGGGGACAAACTTATGAGCCGTCTCTGGCAGTATTACCTGTATACTTATTTATATACCTATATATACAGTCTGGTTACCTGTGACTTCACTGTAGGGCTGCATGGCATCAAACACTAGTCTGGGGACAAACTTATGAGCTGTCTCTGGCAGTATTACCTGTATACTTATTTATATACCTATATATACAGTCTGGTTACCTGTGACTCCGCTGTAGGGCTGCATGGCATCAAACACTGGTCTCGGGACAAACTTGTGAGCCGTTTCAGGCTGAGGCACCTGGCCTGGGTTCACAAAACTGGGGAAGTTTTTCATATCTCTCTGAGGACCAAACAGAACCTTATTAGCCCAGGCCCACTGTTTTCTCAGGTCAAACGGAGCTATGTCCTTTTCGTCCTCCGGAGGTACAAAGCTCTTCTCTATCATCTGGCGCTTGGTGGCACCCACAGGAATACGGACGTACTCCACACGCACATTACCTGGTGGTGAACAACAAATAAAAATCAACCGTTCCCATGACATACTCCACACACACATTACCTAGTGGTGAATAACCACAAAAATCTTAGCTTTCCTTCAATGACATTATAATAAAGATAAAATGAAGATTAATTAACATTAATCATTCAAATTATACTGATATATTGGTGGGAATAAACCATATGGTTATGTTTAATGCAAGAAAAACTAAATGTGTCGTAATGCCACAAATGCCCCGCAGGCAGCCAAAATTTCAAATGCCATATTTAATTTTAAATTTGTTTGCACAAAAGATTGAACTCAGAGTTATGCACAAAATGTGCATTTATAACTAAGATAATAAATAGAAACTGAAAATTGTAAATTGCACATTTGTAGCCGAGATAATGATTAGAAATTGTGAATTTTTTAATCTTTTCCAAGTTCAAGAGGGATAACTCTGTCAAAAATCATCGGACCAGGACCAAATTCACACTTGTCCTGTATATTCTGGTATGGTAAAATACCTGCACATGCAATTTCACCTTATACATACATCCCTACAAAAGTTAGAGAGCGAAAAACTGAAAATTTCTTATTTTTTCTTAATTTCAAGATGGAAAACTCTGCCAAAAATCATCAGACCATGACCAAATTCGAACCTGACCTGCGTATTCCTATTAAGCATCCATATATCAAATTTGATAATTTTGCAACTGTTGCCGAGATAATGATCGGAAAGTTAATGATGACGAACTGAAGGAATGACAATGACGGAATGATGGAACAGGGTAACACTATATGCCCCCGGCCATTTTATGGCGGGGGCATAAAAAGACTTATTTGTCACTCATGACTTGATGCATATATATAGTATTAATACCACATTTCAGGAGAGATTTCTCTGGGGGTAGAGTTCAGTGGGGTTGTTATACATTACCTCCACGTTTCAGTAGAAATTTCTCTGGGGGGTAGAGTTTTGTGGGGCTGTTATATGCCTCCCTGAACCACTGCTTCTCCTGCTGAGAAAGGTCGGGTCGGGTCATGTAGTGAACATTTGTCCAGTCTTCCTGCTTGGCCAGTTTCTCCACCACCTGGCTATCTGTGGGAGGATCCAAAACCACCCACCCATCCTCCTCCTTCCACAGGGGTGGATCTGAAGGGGCCTTACTGTCTGTGGTCTGCACTGAGGTTGATGAAGTATTACATCTAGCTTGATTTAAGCACAATCTACAGTAAAAAAGTTATTACTTCAGACATGTAAAATAGGACTGGGCAATGATTCCCATTTATGTTGTGATATGATCATAAAAACTTTGTTCAACATTTTCAAAATATAGGTACTTTTCATATTACTCTGGATCAGAATTTAGATCTGGACTGAAAAAAAATGTAAACAGCCAAACTCACAAATACTATTTCATTCTCTACACTATTATACTCAATGACAATACATCTTGTATGTGTACCTGTTTAATCCATACAATTGGGTCACCCCCTGCTTCTTTCCTGAAAAATAAATAAATAAAATTATAAATCAATGATATACATTACTCACAGTCATAAGTCATGCCTCACTAATCTGGATGGCAATATTGAATAAAGTTCATTATGTGAACATTATTTTTGAGTGAAAGTCTGAGAAACCAATAATTATCATGCTATAAGGCCACCACTGCATATGTTTTCTACTTGTTTCTAAAAATCACAAAAATGTGACAGATAAAATCAAAAATCAATTGTTTTTAATATACATGTATAACCAAAACTTTAAGAAATTTGACTTAAAATGCTATGAAGGAGAAATTTTTTTTTTTAAACTTTTTTTTTGAACAGAAGAAAGTTTAGTAAGAATAATCTAACTGGGTCTCGGGATAAGCCCTCACTACAGTTGGAATATAAGTCTCACAGAGTTACAATGTAGCAAATTGGAGCGGATCCGCTCCGAAAAATTATAAAGAATATAAAAGGAGTTACACTTAAAATAACACCCTAATTAATCATAACAAACACTTTTGACCTTGTATATATGCTTCTACCCTAAAACTAAGAGGATAATTCATATAAAGATAAAAATTTCATTAATATTTTGATGTCTTTATTTTCTCTTCGAATTTACATGCCATGTTGACATTCCAAACTCTCTGGATAATTCATAGTAAATGTATAGATTAGAGTTATCTACCCCTCTTTAGACAACACGTGGAACGAATTTTATCATTAAACCAGATCCATAGGACAATATCATTTTAACAATAGAACACTCTATCTAATTCTAAAAAGTTTGTTAAATCTTTTTGAGAAAAAATTGATTATTTTTTAAGAAAAAAATCTTAAAAATTGCTTAATCAAGCTATATATATTTAGAATGGCTAAATGGCTAATATTTGAGTTAATCTGCTATATGACAAAATCTCAGACCCCATACTGTGCTGGACCTTTTGAATATGTTGAAGTGAAGTAGTAACTTTGGTCAAGTACTTATTTAAGAAAAATGGAGCTATTCCTAAATAAACTCGAGTAGACTAGCGTTTCTCATTATCCTTATCTACAGGTTGGGAGCCATCACCCAAATGGGATATAAATTTACAGTGCAAAAACGAAGATTTTTTCATTTAGATATATATATTATAAATCTGCATCAAAATACTTTGAACTCATCTGAAAACAATTCATGAAAAAAATCACTCTTGGAGATGTGTCTTTTTCTGCGCAATTACAATCAAAATTTTAAAAGTTTTGGGGCTGTTTTGGTTAACATGAGCACAACGTGAAGTAATCATACTTATCCACGCCTCAATGCACACAAGGTGGTGTACAGTTACTCAAACAATGAAAATACATCTTTTCATTAAAAATGTTCAAACGCAGCAATGTTAAAACTATCTCTGCTCTGGATTGCTTTTTAAATAATACCTAGAATAAATATTAGTAGACATTTACTTGCGGTTTTTTGTCTTTGCAAAATAAAAAGCAAAAATGTTAAAAGTTACCTTGAAATAGCTAAATAAAGCTACCCGAGGTAGGTATATAAAGCTACGGTAGGTAATTTTAGCTACGTAGCTAAATGTACTGATTGTACTGGACCTGTTGGATATTATATCCCTTATATCCCAAACGGGCTATTATATCCCAATATTGGGCGATTGGTCCCAACTTGATCTAGGCTTTTATTTTCAATTCCGATTTCTGGTTGATCTGGTGAACAGGTGAATGCAAGATCTACATGGGCCCAGTCTTCAAGTATAAAAACCGACACATAAATGCCGACAGAAATGTCAACAGACATTTCATATATGCAATATTTCCAAAGGGCACTTTGACTTCTGTCAAGAGGAAATTCGGATTACAGCACTTCAAGGCTATACACTAGACATACAGAAAATAGAAAATCTTAGACAGTTTATTTTTACAGAGTGCCTATTCTAATTTTCATAAAATATGCAAAGTTTAAGACATGCTCTCACCAAGACTCTTGCAAACGGTCCGAAACATTCTGGCAACCGTCGTGACCTTATTGCCGGTAGTTGCCCGGATGTTGCAGGTGAACAACAAGTTGTACCGTTTTATTTCATATACACTATTTCCAATACGTGTTATAAATCAATTTTAAATTTCAAATTTGTGTTCTTATATATTCAATTTTGACAATTCTTTATACATTTACATGTTTAGGGAGTGCAGACAATGAAGCAGAGAAAACATAGAATGAATAACCTGAAACAAATTATTGCATGCGAGGATCTAAGAAGGGGGGGGGGGGGGGGTAGTCGGGGGTCATTTAAAGTTTATACTGTAGCAAAAACAAAAACAAAAAAAAGACTTTGACCCCCCCACCAAGAAAAACGTGGACCCCACAACCACTAAGAATTTTTTTTCACGATTGGGAGCGAACTTTTTTTGCGTGTCAAGAAATTTTCTCGGTTTGATACGTTTGGGAAAGGAGTTTGTTTTTTTTTTTCTTTTCTTTCTTTCTTTGTTTGTCAAAAAATTTCTTGATTGAAAATTTTTTGGCTGGGTGGAACCTAACCCCCCACAACCCAACCCACCCACCCCCCCCCCCGAAAAAAAATCCTTGATCCGCGCCTGCATTGTATCAACATGCATTGAATTATATCCAGAAAATGCATGTTACTAATAAATTTCTGAAATGAAAAAGTACCCGCATGAATGCAGAAATAAATTAAAAATTAGAAATGAATTTTTAAAAAAATTCAATTTTTTTGCAATCAATTTTTTTTTCATAAAGTATTTGCTATAGAAGATAAACCATATGCATATAACTCTGGGTTGACCACAAATAAAATTTTTACATTATACGTGACTGTAAGGATAAATTCTTATCTTTGCAGGAAAATTTTTAAAAATGGTATTGTTCAAAAATTTATTCAGGATACTAGTCGTTTCAATTAATACTTATTTGTATTATCTCTATTGAATTATTGTTAATAATATCAACATCGTATTTATAATCATCATTATTACTAACTGATATTCTTAGCTATAAAAATGATTGTTTTTTGTTCTTCTATGTACATGTATATTATTGTAAATCTTCATAAATGTTGTACGGCTATTCAGATTTTATGTATGGGGAGAAAACTACCTAGCCCTACTTTGGACGCCTAAAACAGCCATACATTGGACGCAGCCCTACATTGGACACCATCTGGAAAGAGGAAGCGAATCGATAGACCACGAACAACATGGAGAAGAACCATAACATCAGAGCTAGAGGAAATGGGCTACGCGAGGGGACAGGCACAGCATGTGACGAAGGACAGAGGAAGATGAAGACAGCTTGTTGAAGCCTTATGTCCCATAGGGGACGAAGAGGGTGAGTATGTAAGTAAGAAGACTCACCTAAGTTTTTGGACCTTGTGTCCAATCCCGTTGACAATATGTTTGTGAATAAAAATAATTTAATATGTTCAAAATAAAACATAGCTCAAATTCATGATATGTGTAAGAAAACTTAATTATACTGGTTCGATAATATCAAAAATTTCGCAACCCTATAATATTTCACATCAGTAACCATATAACAATACAAATAAAACTACTATATCAAACAAATCTAGTTAATTGTCATTGGACGGGAAATTAAATTGTCTAGTCTTACGTATCACACCATACATTGTATTTTGAGCTTGTTCACATAAATATGCTTTCTTGCATGCTTTACATAGCTTGAACGTGAAAATACAATCCCCATGTTATTGGATTCCTTGACAATTTCTAACGCGTTCCAATTTTCATAATATTCGTAAAATTTATTTCATGCTTTTTGCCATATTGAAAGACATATAGTGACACTATGGAGCATTAACAGAAGATACCCATTCTCTGGTATCGATCTATGATTATCATAATGAACCCTCTGACGTCACAATCGATCAGGGATTGTCCCACTGTAGAATATGGCGGAAGGATTCTGACAAAATGCTGAAACTGAATTGTCTTCTCCGGCCGGACTACTCCCTCAGGTAGGTACATATGTAACAACGGCTTGGTTCGGGGGAGGGGGGGGGGGGGGCAGACAACCTGTCATTCAGTGGTGACCTCCAGGTATTGAATGGTACTCATACAGAACACTGTACGAAAGATGAAAAGCCATATAGGGGGCGATGTCCAAATTTATTTGAATGAGTGTAACAAGATAATTGAAATAAATCTGAATGTGTATATTTTTTTCCCCGAACATTCAGACACAACTTTCCTAGTACGATTGCCTTTTTGAAAGACAAGGCTGTAATATATAGATAATACCGATGTTTAGAGATTATGAATTTATTATGCATATATAAGGTGTCTATTTCATGCCATAACGTTATGTAATATTTTTATTGATTGTGTGGTGAATTTTATAATTACAAATTGTAAAAATTTTTATACAATGCATAGACACAATAATATTGTTCATTGGTAAAGCATGAAATTTTGTAATTACTCAACAGAAAATACCATAATCGATCATTTGCACTCTATATCAGAGAAAACTCCCGAGAGTCTCGGAGAGCTCAATCGATGGAAATAGGAATGCCTTATAAGACGACATCTTTATATCTCAGCGGTGCAGACGCCATTGATTTTGTTGGAGTTGAATCGTGGGTGTTTGACCATTACCATAAAATGCAGTGTCAACAAAATAAGTGACTTATAGTCGATTACTACAAACATTTTTATTTTCAAAAATCATGAAACATATACCTAATCTGAGTAAAATAAATTCTTTTTAAAAGATTTCTCTAAAATATTATATAAAATGGTTTTTAAAAAAAATTAAATCAATAAGGCGATATTTAAAAAAAAAAAAGCAAGAAAAACTTTTATAAATTCATAAAGGGAAAGGCAAAAATGTATTCGACGAATTCTTTCAGGTTCTGACTAATTAAAATATTGAAGTTTATTTTCATAAATGCCCTTTATTTGATATCTTAGGAATTTGAAGATTATATTTTTCTTATATCCAAACAAATCTGAAAATTCGAGTTAGCAAATATCTCTTTATTTCAATTTGTAGTGCTTAACTGACGGACTTTACGTGGTACATTTGTACCTTCTTTTTATGCAATTAGATGAACATATAATGTTTTTAAGAGGGGTCATAATATGATGGCAAAAGTAAGTTTTAATCCTTAATGTCTAGGGGAAATCACAATGACCTTGACCTGACCTTGATACTAAAATAAGAGGTCAATTTTTACTGAAATGATACCCTCAGGGTTTGGGCTTAATGATATTGTCTTTTTGATTGTGTAAAAATTCACGAATGTTTAAATACAATAAATATGAGAAGAATTCTTCCTTACTGCATTTTGAGAATTAAAAAAATCTTCAATTCTCTTTATTTTAGGAATTTGGAATTTATATCATTTGCCACCAAACTATTTGCAAAATATATACAATTCATGCATACATTTTTTTTTGTATCAAGTGTCCTTTACAGGTATTTGATTACTGTTGTGAGACTCAGCTGTTTTAACCATGAGGTCGATAATTGATCAGTTTTAATACGTATATATTATATGTCGGTAACTGCACCATATATCTATGTCCGAGTCACTTGATATAGTCTAATCGAGTTCCCCAGTTAAAAACACATTATACTAGCTAAGAAAAATAAAAAAAAATTGGATTAAATGATTTAATCTTTTAAGACTTTAATACAGTATTAAGCTCCGCTTTATTGCCGGAGAAGTACTATTTCATAAATGTCGGAAATGAATACTATAAGATTTCGGAAATGAAAAGTAGACGATTTTAAAATTCTGGAAATGAAATACAGCCGTTTTTTCTACTTGACGGAAAAGGCCGACGTTGCAATTAAATTGCTCCGTTCGTTTATTGGGATCGGTGTACCGACTTGGCTTCAGTAATCTGAGGGATTGTTGAAGTTAATGAATAAATAATTATTTTTAATAAATTCAATTTAATTGTTCTTTCTAAATTGAATTTCTATTGATTGCAACTTTTATAAATATTATTTTTGGCAGTTTTGCTTGTTTTAACTATAATGCTAGTATGATATGAAAGAAAGATCAACCTTTAGGTTTCATTTGTGTCATTAAGGAATCTCTAAACACTAACAAAAAGTGCTTTTTGACTTGGAGAAAAATATATCATAATGGGTGTGTATAAACTATAAAGTGACTATTTAGTTCATTTTCAACATAGGGTAATTTGCCTTATTTCCGCAGGAAAAAAATGTTCAAAGACAATAAGCTATTCGTGAACAGAAATCACTGTTGTTTCCTTATATTTGGAAGATTAATGGTAATAATGAATTCAGTTACTTATTCTTGGTCTAATATAATGCTAAGAATATTTTATTCTATTACAAATTGTGTAATTACATGGCCGTGCCCCCCCCCCCAATAGTTTTTTGCCGATATATAGAATACTATAGAAAACTTAGGTACTATATGCTTGTGCCCCCTCAATGAACACGTCTGATGACTGATCTTGTCAAAGAATTTTGGTAGTTTATTGTGCCCCCCAAATTAAAATTTTTGGCTGTGCCCCCCAAACTGAAATTGCTTCCTATGGGCCTGAATTAACTGTGAATAACCTTTTTTTCACCATCTTACTCCTAAGGACAGATCACTCTAACTGCATAAAACTACCTTACAAGTAGAACTCTTTAGTGTGCCGTGTTTAGAGCTATATAAGGCGACACTTGCCTTCCTTAGAACACTCTAGCTTATGTGCTGCATGTGTGATACCTTTAGTTTTGCGCACTAATTAAAAGACTAATTTGAACAGCACGTAGATTAAAAGATCGTTTGTCGCCAGATAATTATATATTCTTATCACCTCTTCATCCAACAAGTGCTTTTGTAATGAAAAAAAATCGTCTGTCAGAAAATGTATAAAATACAAAACCTTAAATAAGATTTCCTTGAATTTAAAAAAAAAACTTTCTAGTTTGAATATGGATAGGAAATATCAACTTTTCTGCAATTTAATTCTTCAACTTAAAGACATATATTATCTTTGAGTACTTTTGTAATATTTATTATGTAGATTGACCCATGACATCAGCCCTGAAAATCTCCCAGAAGATCTCCATGACTACGAATCCGAACTTAAAAAAGAGCAATATATTCTGTCATGCCTGACAAGGCGTGTTCATTCACCCGAGGCAGAATGCAGCAAAGACGAGGGCGATGAGAAACAAGAGTTATCCCCCTTACAGATAAAACAGAAAACCTTAGAACAACTAAACAATGTTATAAATAACCAATACCACAGCTCAAAGAATCACTGCGACGGCAAGCTCAGCAAGAAAGCCCCGGGAAACGTGAGTCAGGGTGACACACAATTAATCACGGACTTACAGGTACTACTTCTATAAAACATTCTAACATCTATATAATTAGTATTGTTTCATGTATAGCAACACTATACTGACCGAATATATGTACACAATTCATATCCACCTACATTCTTCTATTTACCAGATAAAGAATACAGCAGCAAAAAGGCCCAGTACGTTGACAAACAATCACGTGGTCAAACCCGTGTTAACCAGAGGATCTAGAAAACCGCGAAAATTACCTGCTGTTCCCTCAACCCAGAACCACGTGATAGGTAAGGAATAAAGATGTTTCCCATAGTTTAACTCATTTAGGTTTCACTTTGATGCATCTTTCGGTTGTCAAAAATGAAAATAATTATATATCATTCTTAAAAAATAATGTATATTTGTGGATGGTTACACCAACATTAATATTTATATTGATTGATTCTGCAGTGACCCCAAGTAAAGTACCAGAAGTCAAACCTATAAACGAGAAATGTTTGGCAGACGAACTTCAGGAGGCGTTATTGCGCGGAGACAGTGACGATGTGTTTCTCCCTGATCAGTCCCCCAAACAGGGGAAAGTCTACCCTAAATTCAGTAAGCAGTACCTAGATGAACTGAAAAGTGTCTGCTTCAACTCAGTGTCTGGCAATACGGCGCCCTGTTTGTCGTCAGACAACGTGTATTTGTCAGAGGACTCCGTGCCCGATACCAGACCGAGGTCACGATCACGTCATAATTCCGCTGACATGCGCCATCTGTCGACAGAAAGTGCAAGTCACTTATCAACAGACTCATATAAAGATGCTGATGTAACAGCACCAAAGCAAACCGAAAGAGATGATAGCAGGACATCTTCCATTATGACACAAAAACGCATAGCGGCCAAAGACCAAACTAAATACACAACTTCAAAAGAGGAAGTGGGCGAGACAACAGCTTCCGCTTCCGCTCTTATTACGTCAGATGACCGACGAAGAAGGGATAGCGGTGATGGTAAAATTATCATGTCATATCCTTAACTTGTTAATTTTATCGCCCTTTTCAGAAAAAAAATATTGTATTCAATCATGTTAATATACTAGTAATAATTCTAGACACAACTCTTTTCTTTTTATTCACAGTGTACAGGCCTTTTTTATCCCTACGCTTCTCTATGGACATGTAATTTGAATTTATTTTTTCCATCAGATTCCAATCAGAAATCAGCGTCGGTTTTTGGGGACACTAACTTTCTTGATTTGGAGGTCACACACAGGGGCATGCACCGATTCATTCCACGGCATAAAGACGAGGTCGCCATAGAGATAGGAGACCCATTACACGTGTTCCGTCTTGATGATGACCTTTGGTGTGAAGGTTCTGTAAATCGCATTTTATTCGCGAGAACTGAATCTAGGATTAGAACTGTATCTAGGGTTAGGATTAGAACTGTATCTAGGGTTAGGATTAGAACTGTATCTAGGGTTAGGATTAGAACTGTATCTAGGGTTACGATTAGAACTTTATCTAGAGTTAGGATTAGAACTGTACCTAGGGTTAGGATTAGAACTGTATCTAGGGTTAGGATTAGAACTGTATCTAGGGTTAAGGTTAGGATAAGAACTGTATCTAGGGTTAGGGTTAGAACTGTATCTAGAGTTAGGGTTAGAAATGTAATTAGAATTAGGGTTAGAAGTGTATCTATATCCATATATTTTCACAAAAAATATCTCTCGTCCATAATAATGTGAAACAACTCTAAAACTTCTCGCTGTGATTATCTGTGAAAGATATTAGATGGTGAAACGAATAGAAGGCTCGCAAAAAATAAATGACCATTAGATCAATAAAGTCGCAATTCTACGGAAGCCCATTTAGGACCTGTCAGAAAATATTTTAGAATTCGATATAACAAATTGTCGAATTTGTTATAACTAATTCAATTCGTTATAACAATTTTATGAATTCGTTATAACGAATGCAATTTGTTATAACAAAGAAGATGGGTGAACAAGGCGGGCGAAGTGCCTATAGTGCGACAAACATGAATTGAAAAATAAAATCTCAATTATATCAAAAATTTCTTTGATATTTCATCTAATATTAAAGTATATTTTATGTAAAATCCCTACAATTTACAAAAATTTCACAAAGACTGAAATTATTTGCCTGTGAAATAGCATACACACACTAATGGGGACAAAAGGGACCATTTTCTCATACTTTAACAAAATTTTTTGATATGAGTGGGTCTTCGCTCAATTTTTTGGAAAATTAGTCCTAAAAGTTTGCATTAAAATATGCATTTTTTAGTTTACAAAAACATGGAGCAAAGACCCACTATACCTTTAAAGTACAATTTTATGACAGAGCATTCGCATCTTTCCGAGAAATACTTGAAGTCCATTTAAGTCAAGGGTCATATCACAAACAAGATTTAAATGCCACAATTCATCAGGAGCTGTGTAGCGTAGTGGTTAGCGTGTTAGTCTCAAAGCAGTATGATACTGCGGATTTTTATTGCTAGGGTTCGAATCCCACGAATACCATTTTATTTTTTAATAAAAGAATAATTTTTCTGAGATCATTTTTTTTCTCAGAAAAGTTTTGTTGAACTTTATTTCATAAATTTCAATAATGAGAACTTTACTTTAAATACTTATTCACAAACTGAATTTGATTTTTTTTTTTATATCTGAAGCTATAGGCATTCTGCACGCCTTGTTCACCCATCTTCTTTGTTGAATTAGTTGTATCAAATTCAAAAATTCTTAGATTAAATTCGTTCAAACGAATTCTAAAATTTTTGTTTAAACAAAGTCTAAAATTTGTTATAACGAATTATATTCGTTTAATCAAATTCAACAATTGGGGTCTATAGTAAAATATATATGAATTTGATATAACGAATTGTTGAATTTGTTAAAACGAATCTATTTTGTTACAACATATCTAAGAATTTTTTCAAATAATTTAATTCTTTATAACAAGTTTTATAATTCGTTATAACAAATAAACGAATTCATGAAATTTGTAATAGCAAATTTTATTTGTTATAAGGAATTGATATAACGAATTTAATTCGTTATATCTATTTCGACAATTCGTTATATCAAATTCAAAAATATTTTTTGATAGATCCTAAATGGTCTTCCGCAATTTTCTGATTTTGATCCTGCTTTTTTAGGAGTAAATTTACGGAGTCTAAGACGAGGGATTTTCCCATCAATGTACGCCACAGATCTAAACTTCTTAGAGGAGGCAGATACTGGTAAAGTCTTATGCCTTGTTCTGTCTATTTTATTGACTTATATATTCCTATGAAGGTAATCATACTGTTTTCCTTTCTAAAGATGTGTTTTAGTGCAAGGGTTTCATGTTTTTAAGACGAGGACGGACTCGTCTACTCTTTTGCTTTTAAGATGGATGCACACGTTCTATGGTGCAGTAGTTTAATGCTGTTTGTTTTAAGATGGAGCTGGAAACTTTTTTGTTAATCAATGCAATGATTTTTTTAAGATGGGGACGGAAATTTTCACTTCAATATGAGATTCCTAGGCTCAGTGGAGGTCAGTGGTCATAAAGGAGACGACGTTCTATGCCAGGCCATCAATAAGGTTAGATATAGTCCATGTAAATATAACTAACTAAACACGAAATTTTTCAGATATACATAAAAGGAGACAATGGCTTTGTAACTGCTTCTTCTTACAGGTGGCGCTGTCCCGCCGTTCTGCAAAAACCTCCATACCACCACCTATCGTCTCCGTGGAGATCAGCCAGTACGGAATACGCATGCTCGACAAGAGTAAAGCAGGGGTAATCTCAAAATACACAGTTATTCTCTGTCGCAGTTTTAACTACCGTCTGTAAAATGTTGTCAATTGTCAAAAAATCGTATTAATTCTCTGTTGGTGTGCATGTATATTTCTCATTCAATTTCCTTTCAGCACGAAACAAACGACCATTTCACTCATTTCTTTGCTTTGAAGAATATATCATTCTGTGGGTTTCATCCCCGAAATGAACGGTATGTGTAAATGATGTATTTATATAAAGTAAATAACAATCAATGAGTTTAGATCTACATAAGACATGAATGTCGAGAGTATGTACAACAGGCGGGCAAAAATTCACCTAGACTGGGGGCTCGAACCCGAGAATTCACGCTCTAGACTTCCCCTTAACAGTGCGGGTGCTCTACTGCTGAGCTACCGGGCCGACCTACCCAATACAACAAAATAAGATGATAAACTGTTGTACATATTAATCAAATTTTAATGAAATTTTTGCAACATCCAGGACCTCTTATTACTGCCTTGTCTTTCTTTTTTTTTATAGATATTTCGGGTTCATTACGAAACACCCATCGTCATATCGCTTCGCATGTCATGTATTTCTGGGCGAGAAATCGACGAGATCGGTCTCGGATGCTCTCGGGTAAGGCTTTCACTCATGTTAGATGTATTCTGTTCCGTACAAGTATCTTTCTTGTTAACGAATTTACCAGTATCTTTTTTCTTCTAGGGATGCGTTTAAGAGATTTTATCAGGAGTATATGGCATTTACCCATCCTACAGAGGATATCTATATGGAGTGATGAACCAGAGTAGGCGGGGCTCAATCTTCATATCACGTGATGAACTAGAGTAGGCGGGGCTCAATCTTCATATCACGTGATGAACTAGAGTAGGCGGGGCTCAATCTTCATATCACGTGATGAATCATCATTGACCTTTAAAAATCACGTGATGAACAAGATGGCATGGACGGGGCTTCTTCTTCATAAATCAGCAACATCGCCATAACGAGTATAATACCGCCTATACTTATATATGATACGGGCTCTGGGAGAAAGATTTTTCTATTCCCATAAAAGACAACATAGTATAGGCAAAACAACGTACAACATAATGATTCTCATGTAATCTGAAAAACATTTCTGGATAGTTCCGACAAAATACATCTACATTTGACTTTCCATACAACCATGAACAAAGGGTTCTAACCCTGAAGGATAAAAATCACAATTAATATTGAAAATTATTCTGAGAAAGAAGACTATTTCTTGATGGATAGTACAGTATATGACCATAAGTGAGTCATAATTGCACTTTTTACACTATATATTTCATTGAAAAAACCAATTTTTATAAAAACTTATTGTGAGGTCAATTTTAGCCCAATATCCATGATTTTTTCACTAAATCGTACAGAATTATTCAAATTTTCTTGTCTTATAATGCTAAACAAAATGATACACCAGTCATTGAGAATAATTTATTAAATCTTCAAAATTTCTAACTTCAAATTACTATGATTTCTTAACAATCTAGAGTCATAAAATTTTTAAATCGCATTTGACGTGTGATATAACCGCAGTGCCTAAAGATAAAATTATTTTGAAATAAAATCAAGAAACTGCAATCAATTCTACATTTTAGGGTGTTTTAGTCATAAAAAATTATCAACAAATAAGACTGCAATAATATTTTAGAAAAATGCATTTTGTCAATGAAATATATACTCAGTAGTGGAAAAATAAAATTATGACTTACTTATGGCCAGGTACTGTACAAGGACCAGTCTACAAATTACAGAACCTAAAGTGTCAAACCAAATCAAGTCATGTCGCCATTAACAACATGTCAATTACATGTAAAGCTTGAAATAGATGAAATGAAGACCACCAATCACCAAGGCAATAAATCATTATAAATGTTCAAAAAAAGAATAACCGGTCCAGTGACAGTATTACATATATCCTTTAAGAAGTGTATTATTTTCAATCATTAAAATATCAAACCATATTTCTCAAATGTGTTGTTAAATTAAACCTGAAATGAATTCTAAATCAAAGCAATATACTGTAGATCACTAAACTTTGCCAACACCTTATATATAAGTGACATAGTTTGTATTCATAAACGAGATATTAAGAAGTCGGGTGCTTTTAATTTGCATTCAGCAGAAATCTGAGCCCACTTGAAATGTGACTTGATCGACACAAGATATTTAAGCATTCTGTTGATGAATGGAGTTCCTGTACAAATATAGGAAAGGAAAATATTTTTCCGATATTGTGTCATTGCTAAAATATGTGTTGAAATATTCATTTGGTACAAAATATTACATTTTTAAACAAGTTTTTTGCAGTAAATTTGCCATCTTTGGTCATCTCTCTACGATTTTAATCTTTTATTTATGTCCATATTAACTCAAAGAAACAAGCAAACACTTGTAAAAAAAAAAAAAATAATAATAAAAAGACCCGGAGATCATACAAATGAACCTTCCCCCAAAAAATCTCATTGTATAAATGCACTGTTTCATTTTTTTGTTTTGAAACCGACATTAAATATGTGACAATGGTAGCTCAGTGGTGTTTATTACCTGTTTATAGCAATGAGGAATAGATAAGTTTTTGGTTAGATCCTCGCAAAGAACCTTTAATATTTATTTTTAAATACAAAAGTTGTTTATCTGTTTAATTTTATTTACCAATTTATAAGAATTTAAGATACTTAAATTTAATTCTGTTCCTCCGAGAGCTTAAGCAATTCTTCCCACATACTGAAAAATTTATCATTTATATAAAAAAAAAACTATATTTAATTTATACATTTCAATCTAGCTATATACGCTATCATTTTATAACTGTTTATTATTAATCTGAAATGTTACTATTTTATCGTAACTGTTAAGATAAGCAGACATAAATATTACAGTTTGACAAGATATTTCAATGCATTAATGTAATATTTTTCTTTGTGTGTAATTTTGTTAAATCTATCCAACCATACATATCGTCTGTTTGACTAAACATCTAAAGCAGTGTTTAAACTTTGAATAATTCGTTTCCACGTTTCCTGTAGATCACGCGCCAAATACGCCCATCTTCAATTTCACTAAGTCTGGTTATTATTGTATAAGTAAGACTTCATTTATACAAATATAAGCGAAAATTAAATAAATTTCGCGCAAATTTAAAGTCATTTACAGTATTCACATTGTATGACTGATTTCACCATATCCGTTTCCTATTCCACCATATTTCTTTCGGAGGCTTGCCAGACAGGGTTAGGGTTAGGTTTCCTATTCCACCATATTTCTTTCAGAGACTTGCCAGATACTAGTCTTTATGTGTCTGTTATAACTCTGTTATTTTGTCCCTCGTTTGTCTTGGCTAATTTTTAAACAGAACAACGAAATATATTAGATGCCTTCGTTATATGTTTGTATTTACATGCTGTGCAGTAACTAATTTTCGTGAGTATTTAATTTTTGTTGTTTTCGTGGTATGAAGAAACCCACATATTCATATCCCCCATCGACAAATTCCACTGAACTAAGAAGTCTCATTCAAATCCCCTCGAACGATGATTTTTCCTCAAACCATGAAAAATTGACCTCCACGAAAATAAGTAGTTTTACAATAATATCATTATTATAAGTATTTAATAATGATAATGATAATAAAGTTATATTTGCTCACAAGGTAATTATAACGACCGTAGAATTTACAAAAGGCTTTAAACGAGGTTGTTAAAATCCCTGTAACACCAACATCTGTCAGTAGCTTGTCAATTAAAAATTGATCGTGCTCGGAGCATGCTGTTGAGTATCGTATAAGTTGGGAGATGTAAACACCATATGCACAATTCAGTACACACAGACTTGGGTATAAAACGTGGCTATTTGCCACTTGTCACTAATTACAATAAGTCACCCTGGCTCTTTGTGATTCTTTGTTCACTTTGTTAAAGTATAAAACAACTTTATCCAGTTTCTTGTCAACCATGACTCTACCACTGACAATAACTCATCTACTGTCAAACAGATAACCACAGTGTAAACAAACTGAGTACAATTACAACTATTGCTAAGTATATAAATAATCTTTATGTCAATCTTTTATATATGCTTTCCAGGCAAGAATCTGACTTTGAGCATACTTTGCTCATTTAAACCAAACATTCATTTTTATTTTGTTTCTATATACCATATATAACATTATCTCTTGTATTCTCATTCAATAAAATAACCTGTTAATTAAATTATATACAAGGATAACAACATCTAGCAAACTGTGTACTCTGTTTGCCTCCTAGATACCCAGGAGCAAAGAAAAGGCACACTTACTTATAATTATATTTAAAACATTTACAATGATATTATTGCATTTAGTTTGTTTGCTTAGTACTCAGGGGCAGAGGAGAAGATTTTCATAGCATTAACGCATTTTGCTAATTAATCAATAGAACCCCAAAAAACTCAAGAACTACTGACCCAGGGCAATGAAATTCACAATTTTGAAAGAGGCACTCTTCCACATCGTAACTATGTACTTAGTTCATCAGCTTAATCCCAGGAGCAGAGAAGATTTTCAAAGAATTGATGCATTTTCACTATATAATCATTAGAGCCCCACCCTAACACAAGAACCCTGACCCAGGGGCCATGAAATTCAAAATTTTGGAAGAGACACTCTTCCTCATCATAACCATGTACTTAATTCATGGAATTAATACCCAGAATACTCAGGAGCAAAGGAGAAGATTTTCAAAGAATTTATGCATTTTCTCTATATGATCAATAGAGCCCCGCCCTAACACAAGAACCCCTTTTAGAGGGGCCATGAAATTCACAATTTTGAAAGAGGCGCTCTTCTACATCATAACTTTGTACTTAGTTCATCAGCTTAATACCCAGGAGCAGAGGAGAAGATTTTCATAGAATTGATGCATTTTCACTATATAATCATTAGAGCCCCACCCTTACACAAGAACCCCTCCCTAACAAAACTTTACTATAGTTAACTATAGCTTACTATAGTGAAAACTTTGGTACTTTGATTTACTATGAAACTTTACTCTGGAACTTTTTTTTAAAATTCAAAGCTTAAAATCTCTAAATTTCGATAACAGTAATGTAAAATTTGGAAATAATGTGTGAATATACAAATAATATTTTAAATTTAATATAAAAATGTGCATGTATGAATTGAAGAACAAAAAATATAACGATCTGAAATCCATAGTAAAAATACTGCGATTTACTGTAGTGAAAAAAACTTTGATACTATAGTAAACTATAGTTAACTATAGTAAACTTAACTATAGTACTTTTTTGGTAGGGCTGACCCAGGGCCCATGAAATTCAAAATTTTTGAAGAGGCACTCCTATTCATCATAACTATATACTTAATTCATGGAATTAATACCAGAAGCAGAGGAGAAGACTTTTAAAGAATTAATGCATTTTCACTATATAATTATTAGAGCCCCGCCTTAGTGCCAGAACCCCTGACCCAGGGGCCATGAATTTCACAATTTTAATAAAGGGTTCAATGCTTATTACAATCTTGCAAACAGTTTGACTGCTTGATGTCCAGGAGTTAAGAAGAAGATTTGTAAAGATTGCAATAATTTTGATGGTTTTAGCTCCATTCCTCAGGCCCATAGAAGGCAGGGACCATGAAATTCACAAATTTTACTCCCCATTACCCATAAATGCTATATACCAAAATTGGCTGAAATTGGTTCAGTGGTTTCAGAGAAAAAGCTAAATGTTCAAAAGTTTACGACCAACGGACGACGCACGACGACGGACGAAAACAGATAGCAATAGGTCACCTGAGTGACTCAGGTGACCTTAAAATCTTACGATTAATTGTATAGTTAGAGAAATCTTACGATTTGATTTTATTTTTTTCCATAATTTTGTTAACGAGATTCTTATGTGTAAAAATTTGTCGTAGTTTAAAGAGAGGTCTAACCTTCTCTTAAGTATCTTAGAGCCGTTTAATTAAAAGGTTTAATAGATAAACCTAAATATACGTTTAATTAAACTTTTTAACATGTCCTACAATACCACCTTTTAATACATTTTCAACAGTAAAATACTTTGATTTATTTACTGAATAAAAGTGATATTCTGTCATTGTGCGAAAGGATATCAAAGTGATATTCTGTCACAGTGTGAAAGGATATCAAAGTAGGTAAAAAATAATTTCTGGTCTGTCTTAAGAACAGAGATAGTAACTAAACCATCTTGATAGAGACGAAATTAAAACTGCCAATTTCTTCCCAATAATATTGCTAAAATTCATGTTACAATGATTTCAATCTCAAAAATTGTTAAGCTATGACGTCTCAACCAATCAACTATGACGTCATAGCCTATGACACGCTGTTGAGAAAAGACAGAGGCCAAGGGAGATCAATGAAAATGTAATAAACAGAAAATTCAATGTTTTGTAGTCGGATATGGAATTTATTTCACTCGT